TGGATAAAAATCAGGAAGGATATCTCAGGAGCAAGGAGTCCCAGCCCCACACCAGGGCCCCCAGCCCAGGGTGCCAATGCCAGGAAGATAAATCCCTGTAACAAATGGCTGCAAAAAAAAAAAAAAAAAAAAAACCTTCAAGAACACACACGTGAGCTCACTCAGACTCTCTCTAAGCTCCAGCACAAGGGTAGCAGCTTGAAACACACCAGTGGCATACAGGGCAGAACTGAAGTATCTCTCATCAAAGCAGGAGCTGGGGGAAAGCATTCTCTCAGACAGAAAGGTGGGCAGAGACCACTGCCTCTTTGCTGAGTCCTTCCCCCACAGCCACAAAGCCAACAGACCGGTGACATATCTGAGACTCCGTCAACCTAGCTAACACTGTTTGCCCTACCTGGAAATCCCCTGAGACTCCTTGCCACCCAACTTATGTGCCCACCCAAACTATTAATTGGGACTTTTCCTTATGAATAGCTTGTCTTGGCTCATGCTTCATAACTTCATAAATCTTATCAAACAAACAACAATCAGCTTCAGTGAACCCCAAGGCCCTGTTCCCCTTGCTAAGTGACTCCAGGCCTGGGTCTAGCAGTAGCCAGTCTAGAAAAATAGCTTGGCTTCACTTGGGAATCTCCAAGCCCAGCACAATTAGCAGCCTCCTGAGACTGCTTTATAGTTCATGCAGGGTGGCCCCTCGCAGAACACAGGTCTGGGCTGACCGTAGCTTGCACCACCTGGGAAACCCCAGAGCCTGAAATCCAGCAGTCAGCTATAGTCCACTTTGGAGCACCACCACCCTGCCCCTGCACAGTTAATCCTCCACAGAAGGCAGAGGTCAGTGGACAGTGGTCACAACCAACCCTTGTGGCTAACTGGCCTAGGTAAATCCCTCTCATTCACCTACTAACAGCAATCAAGTCTCAACTACACAAGGAGGGTATATGCAACCCACACAAAGAGCACCCCTCGAGTACCCAGCCTGGGTGATAAGGGAAGCGCTGCCACTGAACCCTACGGTACACCTACTACATTAGGTGAGGCTACCAAGACAGAGAGTCATAGCAACTCTACCAAATATATAGAAACAAACACAGGGATAATGTCAAAATGAGGAGACAAAGAAATATGGCCCAATGAAAGAACAGATCAAAACTCCAGAACCAGAACTAAACAAAGTGGAAATAAGCAATATATCAGACGTAGAGTTCAATACACTGGTTATAAGGATGCTCAAAAAACTTAGTGAGGACTTCAACAGGATAATAAAGGTCCTGTATGGATACACTAATTGAAATAAAAGACAATTTACAGGGAAACAGCAGTAGAGTGGATGAAGTTGAGAATCAAATCAATGATTTGGAACATAAGAGAGGAAAAAAACCAACCAAACAGAACAAGAAGAAAAAAGAATAAAAAAATGAGGATAGTGTAAGCAGCCTTTGGGACAACTTCAGGCATTCCAACATTAGCGTCGTAAAGTATCCCAGAAGGAGAAGAGAAAGAGCAAGAAATTGAAAATCTATTTGAAAAAATAATGAAAGAAAACTTCCCTAATTTGTTGAAAGAAATAGACATGCAAGTCCAGGAAGCACAGAGGATCCCAAACAAGATAGATTCAAAGATTCCCACATGAAGACACATCATAATTAAAATGCAAAGTTTAAAGATAAAGAAGGAATTTTAAAAGCAGTAAGAGAAAAGCAGTTAATTACCTACAGGGAGTTCCCATAAAGCTGTTAGATGATTTTTCAAAAGAAACTTTGTAGGCTAGAAGGGATTGGCAAGAAATATTCAAAGTAATGAAAAGCAGGGACCTATAGCCAATATTGCTCTACCCAGTAAAGATATCATTCAGAATCAAAGGGCAGATAAAGAGCTTCCCAGACCAGAAAAATACTAAAGGAGTTCATCATCACCAAACCATTAATATATGAAATGTTAAAAAGACGTTTATTTAAAAAAAAAGATCAAAACTATGAATAAAAAAAAATGGCATTAAATACATATCTATCAACAATTGAATCTAAAGAACTAACTAAACAAACAAGAAGAACAAAGATAGATTTGTGGGTACAGAGAGCATTTTGATGGTTGCCGGATGGGAGCTGGGAGTCAGAGAATGGGTGAAGAGGCGAGGGGATTAAGAAGTACAAATAGGTAGTTACAGAATAGCCAAGCAGATGTAAAATACAGTATAGGAAATGGAGTAGCCAAAGAACTTATATGCATGGCCCATACACATGAACAATGGTGGGGGAATTGCCTGGAGGAATGGGAGTACCGGGTGGAGGGAGGGAAAAAGGGAAACATTGGGGCAACTGTAATAGCATAATCAATAAAATATAATTTTAAAAAAAGATTCCAAGCAAAAAGTTAAAAAGTCTGATTTACTTGAACAACAGTGTAATGATTGTGAGGAGGGAGGTGAGTACAAGTGGGCTAAATGGCAATGGAGAAAACACAGTAAGAATTCCAAATCAGTGCATTGTCAGTCATTCAAAAATATTATTATGGATAGTAATTAAGATATTATTTAGAGGTAATTAAGATACCAAATCAGATGAACATTTAGGCTCCAGAGAAGAGAGAAAGTTGAAGTCAAAGACGTTCTTCTGTTCCAGAAAAAACAAGATGCTCTGGTGTGACTGCTTGTGGAGAGGGGCAGTGTCTGAGAGCTGAGGGTTTCGATCCTACAACCACAAGGATCTAAATTCTGTAAACACGCTGAATGGCTTGAAAGAGGAGTCTGAGTTTCAGATTAGAATCCAGACTGTCCCAGACCCTGGTTCCAGCCTTGTGAGAGCCTGAGCAAAGGACACAACTAAGCCATGCAGTGTTCCCGATCCAGAGATACTGTGAGGTAATAAGCATGTGTGTTAAGTTTCTAAATTTATTTAATTTATATGTACCAATACATAGTACACATTACATGCATTCAAAAAACAGAATAAAATTAAGGAAGTATATACTGACTCTTGGCAATATTATTTTGTCATTTTGTGTGGGATTTTTTTGACATTTCCTTACTTCCTCCCTTAAATTCTCTATTCAACAACACTTCACTAGATCCTTCAGCATGCATTAGTTCATTTCATAGCCAAACAACAGACAGCCAAAGAAGAACAATAATGTGTCTTTACCCAGAGAATATATCAGAAGTTTCATGTCGGAAGAAAAAATATCTGATAAAAAGAATTTTATGTAAAAGAAGTCTTTCCTACCCCAAGACTACAGAGATACCTTCAGAATGAACAAAAGCAAAATGCAGGTAAGAGTGAGAGAAGAATATTAACTATAAAATGGGTCAGATGGACATGGCTTGAGTATGATTAATATGAGACCATGCTGTGAGAGAGACACACTGAAAAGGAAACTAGTATCATCCGTTCAAGCCAGATCTTTCCATCATAATACTCCGAAGTATCATGGGAGCTGAAAAACCTCAGAGCTGTAATTAGGAGGCAACAGGAATTTTCTTCTCTTAGGAAAGACAATTTTTAACATAGATTGCTCTCTGAAATTACACATCATTCACCATACTTAGCATCTTCTGCTTCTTCACTACTCCTGCAACTATAATAAAAGATCAAGAGTTCTCAGAAAAAAAAAGGCAGCTAAGGCCTGGACACCTCATAGGATGATGCCGTAAGAAGTAATAATTTGAACATACATTTGGGTGTGGCTAAATAAAAACAGTGTACATTCATTCTGAGCAAAATTTGTGAAAGTAGATCACCCTTGGTTCACTATGGAAAAAAATTAAACACTCTAAACAGGAAACAAACAAACAAAAAAACAAACAAAGAGGAAATTGCTTTTTTGGAGGAGGACAGGGAAAAGGGAAAGTTGGGACTGAAAACTATTAATTTTTATTATAAGCTTATCTACATGGTTTTTTCACTTTCATTTTAAATGTATTATTTTGAAATCACATGAACAAAAAACCAAAACATTTCAAGTATCCAGAAAGTACAATACATTTTCATTTAGTTCAAATAAAACATTTGAAAGATGTTTTATTCTGTCCTGTTTTTTTGTAATATAACATGTGCATTTTTTCTAAATCAATCTTCATACAAGAATGTGAAAGTTCAGTTTGTACAATTTCAAAAGAAATTGGCCTTTGAAATCATTGAGGTTGGGGAAACTTTCATTCAGATCAAGACATCAGAACTTACTGTGTTTCCACCCTTCCTTTACACACTCAGACACCCTTCAACAAAATGGGTTTTTCCTTCTCCTTCTCTCTCATGCTGTTTTAAATGGAATTGTTTGGTTTTGACAAACTTTAAAAAAAAGAAAAGTTTTAGGATAGATTAGCAGTTAAGATCTTCAATGCACATGTGACTTTTTTACTGATGGATAAGCATAAGGAAAGAAAGGTCTGAGGAGTAAAGAAAGAGATACTGTAAATTCATGTGATCAAGGCTTGCATCCTTTACAAAATGTGAAAGCAATAAATAGAACAATATATTTGGCCAAAGAATTCTGATTGTTCTACAAAAGTTAGGAGCAACAAGAGAAGACACAAATCTGTTCTCCTGTGGAGCTGGATGATAACTATAAGGAAAGCTCTAAATTAACACATATAGATGTATAGATATCCAGAAGAAACCAACTTCTAGAAAAATAAAAGTAAGATGGGAATTCTCAATTTAGCATGCCACACAAATGTCTGAAATGACGTTAATTATGTATTGTTTTATTTAAATTATTGCAGAAAAATTTTTAAAATATATGCATGAAAATATATTATTTAATATTGAACATGTGCATTAAATCAATATATTCATGAATTCTTTACCTTAATGCTTTACAACTTCAGGTATAAGTGCACAAACTTTATCAGTTGTAAAATACATGATTTCAAATATATCAATATTGTGTGATAAGACAATATGAAACATTTTACAGATCCCAGTAGATATTTAATAGTAATATAAGAGGTAAACTTATCCTTTTTAGTCATTTCCCACCCCTTCTGCCCTAAACAAAGCCTAAAGAAGCTGTTGTTTACATATATAATAATTTTTATTTGTGCAGGATTCATCCAAAACACTTTTGGTTGGGCTATATAGTATGCAGTTGCCTGTATCTGGAGGTTTAGCGAATGACAATCTGTAATGAAACATAAAATTTTATCATATAGGAAAAGGGAATGAGAATGTTTAGGGATGGTGTTTTTTTTTATTAAATAACACAAGTTTTTAAAGCATTCAAATGACATGCTCACATATTGTGTCTTTGTATTTTTTCTTTCAATAGCCCTGATTTTCATGATTTCAAGTACAATAACACAAAAACTCAGTTATTACCTCAATAGTGAATGGCATTGAGGTCATGAATTTTTAAATTTTTGCATTGTAATTATTAGCTTTTATAAATGATAAACTTTGTTTCTATTTTGTTTAAAGATGCATTGATTAATTTAGTCTAGGAAAAGAAATCAGAGCATAAGATTTGTCATGCATGATGCTGCAAATACCAAGTTAATGAATAAAAATGATATTTTAATATTACTAGTGTACAAATATGAGCCCAGCGTATTTAAAGTATGAAGGGATGCTGAGAAATTGGGCTCCACTATAATAAAGGAGATAATGGCTACCCTGTTTTCCCTGGACAGAATCTGCATGTGTGAGCATCTCTGCACATGTACAAGACAGCCAAGTGCTTGGACCAAGGCAAAACACACACATACACACGCTATATGTCAAAACTTCTTCAACGGTCACAAGTACACTAACTTTATATCATTTGAGTATATACATGGATGTCTTAGATAGAGCTAAAATTGTCACTCACTTGTATTATTCTCTTTTCTGTATTCACATGCTAAAGATAAGCTATCATAGCTACAGTATTCTTATAAGTTATATTCTCTAGTCAGGCCTAAGAATAAACTCATAAAGAACTGAAAAGACCATATTTTCAGAAACTTACTGATTTTTGATGAGAGCAGAGCCATTTTCCCACAACCAGCCATTATGTTCTTTGCTGTAAGAGAGTCCAACCCAGTAAAAATTTTCACTGATGCTCATAAAGCGCTGCTTGGAAACAGAGACAAACATTAACTTAATTTGAGTCTACTCTGGGAATAATGTACTTTCAAGAAAGTCAGTGCCCAGCATAAGATTCAACCCTTAAATCTCTCAAACTGAAATAAGTTTTAAGCTCCAGGTAGGAGGTACAGTCACATGCCCCAAATTTTTCATTTATCAGATCCATTAATTCATGGAGGAAAAAAATCTTACTCCTTGAGGAATGAGTGATGTAAAAAGAGTTATGGTTTTCCTGGAACACTTTCTTCATAAGATAGTCTGATCCCAAATCAGCAGCATTTTGAAGAATACATTTCATGTATTCCTATTCCTACTCATCCTATTCTCAGCACAGGTTCTTCAGGCAGCTAGAGAAGTTTTTCACTTTTTCTTAAGAGATGGATAATATTATGATCACATTATCCATGTTTATGTCACCTAATATCCCACTATGTTGACAACAGCAATATAATTGCATAAGAAATTATAAATTCAATTATAGAAATAGAAATTTTAAAATTATTTACTTGTATCTTTGAGTGAAAATAATGACTCATTATACCTCCCTTCATTTCTCTCTGAAAAGTCTCTTGTATTTTATATGGCATCTATCTGGATTTTTGTACTTATTATAAATTTTTGAGAAATTCTATGTAGATTCTACAGTGATTGTTTCAAGGCTTATGAAATTAGCAAGTTATTAGTTCAAATACAACCAGCCAGTAACTATCTGACTAAAGATTTGATTCAAAGAATTCAGTTTACTTAAATGGTATATTTTCTTAAGTCAAAGAAAATATAGAAAACCAAAATTAAATACATGCCAATTCATCTCCATTGTGCAACTGAAGTAGACTAGAATTTTGAGAAACACAGAATTCCTTGCTCTTTGCCCAAGTTTTAACATCATTAGAAATGAAATAACAGTTGCATTTGTATCCAATCCACTTTTCTTGGCAAGAACAGCAGACAGAGCCTAAGAGAAAAATTAAAGTATGATTGATAACATTGTAGATTTGATATAGTCAATGTTATTTATTCATTCAAAAATTATTGGCTTTTTTTTTAAACTATCATTTAAAATCTAGTAATACACTGCATCTCGGGGACAATAATGTGACCAGATCAGACTTGAACTTTTTCTTCATGGGGATTATCTCCTGAAGGTAAAGTCAAGATTATATAATTTCTAATCATGTATTAATTACATATAATGCTACTTTGTGAAAATATACATGGAAATTCAATATGTTAAAACATTGTGTAACAGAGTATAAGATGGGAATGGTTAGAAGGACTTCTATTGAGAAAGCAATACAAAGTTGAGTGTTGCTGTGTAAATTGAAGTAGCTTAGACGAAAGAGATATTTAAGGGTGAAAGGTATTTTAGCCTATTTCCCGAGTCAGAAAGAATATGGTCCATTGGGATAATTCTGATGTTTGATTACTTATTTTTTAAATGAAGTTCAATAAAACAATTAGCTTGAAATACAAACATTTAGTTTAAAAAGTGATTGCATCTTGAATATTTATTATCCTCAGTGATGAAAGTTATGATACATCGTAGGTACTCAAATCTTTGCTAAATGAATGGTGCTGAAGTCATAGCATATAATAGTGGTTACAGGGGCTGGGAAGTAAGGGCAAACGGGGAGGTGTTGGCTAAAGGTTAAAACCCTCCAGTTAGAAGATAAATAAATTCTGAAAAATCTACTGCATAGTACTGAGTTGATAGTTAACAATACTGTACTCTACACTTTTAAGTTGCTAAAACAGTAGATTCCAGTGTTTTCACTATAAAATAAAAACAAAAAAAGTTGTGTGGGGTGATGAGCAGCGAGCTACTCATCACATAGTCAAAATATAAGTATACTTAAAATAGAGTATAACAGATCAACATACTGTACACTTAAACTTACACAATGTTATATGCCAATTATATCTCAATACAGCTGGAAAAATGCAAACAAGATATAAATGAATTGCTATATAATCACAGGAGAAGGTGAGACAACTTGGAGAGCATTTGAGAAAAAACACTAAAAAAATTGGACTTTGAATTGGCCTTACTTGATAAATTTTTGCACTATATTCTTAGTCATGAAAGAAATAGAAGCAGAGGTAAAGAGATATCAAAGTATGTTACAAGGAAACAAAATCTGGTACTTAGGATTAGCTACGATATGTACTATAATTTATTTTTGATTTGTTACTTAAATATGAGCACTTGTACAGGAAAAACATGTCATTTCAGGTTAATATTTTCCTTATAATTAAATATATAAATGATGTGCATTTATTGTAATTTAAAAATTCTTACATTAGAGAACAATGACATGAAACTATTCTAAAATTAGTAGGTAAATTTGTATTACTATGTGTAATATTCCATTATGCTTATGTATGAGAAAAATAGGAAAACTATTTCACCCTCTACAAACACAAAGGTTGTCCAAAGTGTGAAACTTACGTTCCTGGGGTTCAGTGGTGGGTGCTGGAGATGGTGGTGTCTGATTACTTAAAAGAAATTCTACAAGAGATAATTATAAATTTACTTAATTAGATACAGGTTTGTGAAATAACACAATATTACACATTAGTGAAATGAAACCTTTCATATTGAATGGCTTCATCACAGTTTTGATCTTTATATAAACTTGCCTAGAAAAACTTACTGTATGTTAACAAAATTCCCAAAGTACCCATCAACACAAGGGCTGTTACTCCTAAGATCACAGATATCAACCTCCATGGAGTGGTCTGACACACTGTAGAGAAAGAGAGAGAGAGAGAGAGAGATGAGTTAAATAACAAACACAGGAGCTGAATTTGTTAAAAGCAGAAACCAGAGAGGGAAAATACAAAAAAATTTCTTTGGCTTGACAACCCAACCATCTTGCCAGTGAAACAATGGAAAATGAAGGCATGCCAGTCAGAACTCGATTCAGTACCCAAATTTTTATGTGATATGCTATTCTTCCAAGAAAATATCCATACCTTTTGTTCTTTACCAGCTCTGTCTCATAAAGGTGGATTTAACATTTTTTTGTTAAATTTGGCAAATGAGCACAGAGACCTGCAGTGAGAAGAGATGAACAGGCACCAAGTTCTGTTTTACGGGCCTACATAACAGACATTGCTTTTATTTTCTGAACAAAAATCACAGGATGGCAGTCTGATTCTCATTTGGCAGATGAGGAAATTTAAGGCTATTAATAATGTTATTTTCTCAAGGTATCAAAACTAGTCAGTTCCCAAGTTGGAAATCAAATGAAAATTTATCTCAGACCATTCTTTAACATATTCTATCATGGTCACAATAATACTCCTTGGGGTGTGCCCTCCTGCTAATCTCAATGCATTTGCTGCTTTGAGAAAGATCAGGTTCCCATGGATTTGTAGAGGTTTTACAGGGATGAGAAGACATAGGTGCATCTGAACCTAGTGTGAGGAGAGGTTCCCCAACCAATACCTTGGAGACTTAGATTCATTTCATAGTACACTGAATTATGATATATAAACAACCGTTTTTTATACTAGCACATTACATTTTCTTATAACCGTACTTTCTTGCTTATAGTCATTTCCCCCAAACAGTTTAACATTAAGAAATTCCACATTAACATTAGCACCCTCCCAAAGAGTGTTGTCATTTAAAACAGTCCAGTGTGTCAAACTGCTAATCTGGGTGGGTTTGGGATATCAAAACATAAATGTTAAATTTTTAAATAGCACTTGTAAGCATCGTGTCATTAATATTTGGCATTCTCTCTTTATGCTAGAATTAAGTTGCCCATAATTTAACCAGGTAAATTCCGATCCCACTAAGGATTTAGAACTTTCCCTTGTTATTTTTATTTTTATTTTATGACTGGGACCTCACATACCTGCCATGAGAAATGTTGTTCCAACGTTGATGCAGGTAAATCAGGGTGTTCGCTTGTTCAAGAAGAATGTTGTTAGATCACAGAATTGAGCAGGAGGCTAGGAATCCCGGAGTTGAGTGTATACTGAAGTGATGTCCTTGAATCATCTATTGGTGAGGCACAGACGTATAGTATGAATAAGAGGTAGTAAGTCACTAGCTTTGAAAATGTCCCTGGAACCACAATACAGGAAATACTCACTTGTGTAATTGTACTTGTGTAATGCAAACACTTTGACTATCATAGCAAGAGGTAAGATAAAAAACAAGTATTTTTTAATGTTTGAAGATCAAAATCATCTTAAAAATTATTGGCACATAAAGAAAAAGGTGGTCAAATCAAACTTAAATTTACTTACTATAATGAAATTCCTCACAGAATTTTTCTTCTTTAATGATGAGAAATATTTATCTCTTACCTGTGCTATTCACAGATTAAAGCACTTGGCATATATTAGCTCATTTATTTATGAAAATGGCTTTAAAATGAAGATATTTAAAAATAAGCATTTTTCTAAAGAAAAAACTAAGGCAGAGCTAAATACTTGGCCAAGGTCACTAAGTTTGAGGCCCAGTCTGTCTTTCTCCAAAGCACACATGCACTATATTTCAAATCAGGCTTATTCCTCTGTGTCTGTGTCTTGTAATTTTGATTTCTTTTCTCTAGGATAGGGTGGTTGGTATTTCTATCTCTTGTTGTATGCTTCTTATCCCTGTCTCATTAACTCAGCTATGGAAGGCAAATATCAAAAATATGGAACGAGATTGACTTCTTATTCTGTTGCACGTTCACACGCACGCACACACGCACAACTGTGATTTAACACTGCCTCTGGTGGTCTCTGCCCACACTAGGGTATTTCATTCATGTGAGACTTAAAAGCTTCCAACACTGTACTCTCCAGTGTTCCATTCCTTGCAAGTCCTTTGAACATGCCATCAGTCGCTGTATTATCTTTATTTTTACTAGTTTATTAATTATTATATTTTTACTGTTATCTCATTTAGATAATACATTGATAGTTAAATTTACACTCTTTTTGTTCTCAAAAGAATAATCTTATTAGTAGGAATTCAAATGTGGGACAGATAGATAATCAGAATAAAATCCTTAAGAGTAGGGACCTTGATTTCTGACTAAATAAGTATATGGAAATATAATCTACCATTTACCCACATATAAAGGAGACTCTCAAATAAGTTTTTCTTCATTGTATGATTTATTTTTAAGCATTGTAATATTACTACCAATGAATCTTTTTATTAAAGAGTCTTTTCAACCAAAAAAAAGGAAAAATAAAAACAGAAAACAAGGAATGCGATTTTATTTTTCAGTGTCCATGAAGTTAAAAGTTTTCTATCTTTGTATGCAGAGTGTGCATAGATGCTTTAACTGAACCACCAAAACTGATGAAATTTAAATTGTAACCAGATAATGTGAACAAAAAATCCATTCATCTGGACTTCAGGCAAACCCATGCTGATAGAGCTGAGGCATCAATGACCCTTGGCCACTTGGAATCTATTCATTTTTTGTTCTAATGTTGACCAAAGATGAACTAGCAAAAACTGCATAATTTTGCTTTTTTTCACCTCATGAAAAATCACCTTAAGGAAGTAAAAGTTTAAGATTTTGCTTTCAGATTTAGTTTTGAGATTATACAAACTTGCGACAGAAAATTTAGGAGGTATTATTCCTACATTTCCCACATTCACAGGATGACCTTCATTTGGGAGTTGCTCTAATTTCCAGAACCATGTTTCGTGAGATTTACCTAAAACATCATCTTCTTTATTCATCTTAGTCCACTTAAATGTATCAAAGATGTGTTCAATTCAAGAATCTCAGGTTCAACTCACAAAAACAGCTGAACACACACACACACCTACACACTCACACAAAAGATGTATATAAAAATGCTCCCTTTAATTCTTTCTGCACTGCCAGCTCTGGTTGATTCTTTGGTTCCGTCTTACACATGGGTAGTCGAATTGTTTTTGCACCGGGATCCCTACCACTTATCCCCACTTGAACCAGTGGTTATCATTTCCCAACCCACATCCCTCATTATATTTTGTGAACGCTGGCCAACCGGTACCTGAAACTCTGCACCTGCAGATGTTTTTCTCCTACACCCGCTGAAAGCCCTTCTGATCTCACGTGCGGCCGTCGGAAGTAATGAGGAATTATCACCGGGATGGGCTTCAACCAACGAGTCTCCGAATTTGGTGTAGTTGAGCACCCTCAGCCCTTAAAAAAGCAGTTCTGAACACCGGGGTTTGTACTGTTTCACGGAATCACTCAACAGTGTTACCTTCTAGTCTCCTCTTCCAGTAGCTACATTCAGAGAACAACTTTTATGGTGTCCTGCCTGACTTTTCCTGTATTAACACTCTTTCCAACATTTATTCCATGCACACCCAAATAAACTTTTCACTCAAAACCAAACTCAGGGTCTGTTGCAAATAGAACCCAGACTGCAATGTCACTGAAATGTTCAGATTCAGTTACGTATTTGTTTTTGAGAAGTTGGGTATCCTCCTGGAAGATACATCTCTCTTTGCAGGAAATCCTCTCCCCCGGGGGCCATTGGAGGAAACCACACTTTTTCTCCACAGTAGTTTACCACTGACCTTTGTTCAAAGCAAGTAATAACCCTAATAACTACATCATTCAGAACAAAAAAGGAGCTAAAGAATGGCCCCTTAAAATATGAACAGTGAGATCTTTTCTCTGCCTAGCAATTTCTAACTAAAATATTGCAAAACATAGTATTGGTATACATGCTAACATCCCCAAGTGAGAAGTTTATTTTGATCTCACTGTTTTGAAAATACATGCATTGCCTAAGTGAAAAGAAAATTGCTGGCATTAGGCTGCAACTTATTTCCCTCATAAGGGAGAGGGAAGGCTCTCTGAAAAAGAAAAAAGAAGGATTCTAGACTAACAAATTCTTTTGTAAATATGTTAATAACAAAACTGCTAACAAACATTGGTTCCGCTTGTCAAAATCCTTATCTTGTCAAAATCCTTATCTTTGAATATTTTAACAAGATGTGTTAGAATATCAAACCATTCATGGCTAAAACAAAAGATAGGGCGAGAACCTATGGGTTTATGGAATATAGCTTCCTGGAAAATGTCACATAAACTATATAACAATCTGACTATAACATAGAGATGTATCGGGACCAAAGCACCATCATTAATGTATGTGATGCAGTCACAACCTCCCATTAAAGAGCTCATTTGTTATTCTGTTCATCTGGACCACAGCGTGTCCTAAGGTGGGAAGGAGCCAGGGAGTTGCATTGCAGGCCTGGATAGCTCACTGCTTTGTCTGTGCTTCACAAGTATTGTGCCATTGAAATTACTAGTAAAGGCTGATACTGAGTAAAGTCTCTGAGAATGCTTGTGATTTAACAACCCAATCTTTTGTGTTACCTTCTTGATGAATTGGTAACTTCTGTTCACATAGGTCACGAGAAACATCGTACACTCTCTTCGCACACATCTTCACTTGCACCGCTCTCATGTCCCTGGAAATTTCCATTGAAGTTCCGGCATCCCTTTGCCTGTTCCCCTCGATCTGCTGAAACCTTAGCTGCCTTCACATTGATGAATCTCAAGATTTGATATATAAATATTACAGCTACTTTTGCTTCTCTAATATGCAGGGATCTCGAAGGTGCATGTTTGAAAAAGAAATGTGTGAAAAAAGCTTTTCTTTTTTCTAAGACTACAAAAAACTTTCCTGACCTAGGGGAAAGGAGAGTGAGCTAATGGTGAAATAGTGGTGGAGGATGGTGAAAGATAAAAAGGAAAGGTCAGAGGGGCAGGATTGATGTTACTGATTAGGAAAAAAAAAAGCCATGCTGTGAGAAAAGAGAATGCATTGGGTGACACTCAGGTAACACTCATATCAACATATCCCTTCATTAATACCATAAGTCATAATAGGCAGTGAGTAAACATCTGAAAAAATTCATCCTCTACTTGAGAGCGTATCACACACTTTCTGCTGTAAAGACATTGAGCTGTTCTTGTCATTAACTGCAGATAATTTTCCTTGTGAAGAGATGGTATCCATTGTTTAACACCATCAGATAAGAGTTTCCTGCAATATTGAATAATCTTTGTAAGCACTCAGGAAAAATTAATAATAATAATAATTAGTAAATTAAAAACAGCCTGGAACCTTGTGGTTAGGTAGAAAAGACTATTTCTGAACTTTGGTTTGGTTAGACAAAAGAAGTTCAAGATTTATCCTCGGTTGAAAAATAATAAAACACCTCTCTATTCTTTTACAAAGAAAACTGATAAAAGTAGAAAATCCAGAATGAGAATCAGTTGTCTTTTGGGACCAACCAGGGAAAGGACAAGTAGAAGAAAGAATTGTTGATTTTCGAAATAAGTGTTTCTATATAATAGTTTTTAAAAGTGTATGCATGTTTTCTTTTGGCTAAAGAATAGACAATTAAGGAAATGTAAATTCAATGTTCAAGAAACACAATTTATAACTTATTTTAGACTTCAAATGTTTTGATATATTGTTTTTATATTCTGCATCTATTTTCATATAACTTAATTTCATTCCTCTTATAGCTCCCCTTTTTCAAGAGTAAAATGGTTTTGAATTAATGGTCACATTGTCCTTATGCCTTAAAAGATAAATGAAGTGGTTTTGTTGCTCTGCACTGGCCCGTTACAAGAAAAAATGGTAAAATCAAGTGGTATTTACCTAACGTGTATTTTCAGTGCTTGAAATATACCATTAAATACAAAATAAGAATATCAATCTGAGTTTCTAAAGATACGTGTGCAACATTATCATAAAGCAAATTTTATAATATGTGACACGTAATATGGGGTTAACCAAAAATTTCATTTCATATTTTCCATAACATAAAAGACATTTTTAATTTTCATCAATAACTTTATTTATTTGGATATTTTGTATATGTCTGCTCTCTCCCCTGTGGTATAACATTGATTATTTTCAATTAATGTCTCTATTTGATTGCTATCAACTTTAACTTGTCTACCTGACTGAGAAACATTGTCCAACATGAAACTTTGCAAACCACTTTTGACACATTCGATTAGCCACAGCACTTTCTCCAAACACTACACAAATCTTTTTCGCATTTCAATTGTTTTGTTTGCCTTTCTGGAAATAATAAAGCTTAATGTGCAAAAAATGTTGTGTATTTTCTTCCATCTTCAATATTAAAATAACTTCACAAAAGTTCACCAAGTTTGATAAGGTATTTAAAAATACACACTGATATGACAGCTGTCTGTCAAAATACAATCTAACAAAATTATTTTGAATGAATTTAAAGACAACTAAGTGCCATAGAAAAAGCCAAGTGAACTTTTTGGACAGCCCATTTAGGGAATATATTTTTTGGATTGGTCAGGAAATAAAGGACAACTGAGTGAATCCATTACTGAGAAGCATAAACAAAAAACACCCAAGAGAAAAAGTAAAAAAAATGCAAAACAAAATTATCCAGGGCATAGATTATGTTTCTCTTGGGAAAATCTGGAAGCAATCACTGTGTGAAACATGTTTTCAAAGCAAGAGCTTCAAATTAAGTTTAATAAAATCAGAATTTTTTTAAAAATTATTTTTTATCTAAGGTAGAGAAAGAAACTCAATCGTTACCAATGTGAATGGTTTAAAATTTATTTATATAATGTTTGTTACAGTAAGATACAATACAGTGATGTGCTCGCTGCCTCCTAGTGGTAATGGCATGATTTGTTCAAATGTAAGAACTTTTGTTTTTAGTCATATAAGTATTGAATTCTTCCTGAGAAAAAAGTTAAATAAGTTGTTTCTTACAAATATAATGGTTTTGATTTCATAACTTTCCCTATTCTCTGCACTTTACAGGATAATGAAATAGAGATTGTGTGTGTGTGTGTGTGTGTGTGTGTACACACATCCACCAGCTTACAAGTCAACAGAATTAAAATTTATATGACACAAGAACATTTTCATCCATTGAGACTATTGGGGTAACCTGGGTAGAGATAAATTATTGTTTCTTTTGCTTTCTTGTCTCAAATTTCACACCCTGATACCTTTCTTGCAGTACAATTCTACAAAACATGACCTCACCTTGAACTCAGAAGAAGCAGAGGAACAAACTAGAGACACTTAAATTATGGGAAAAAGCAGAACCATCATCCCAGACTCAGTTGCTGAGTGTCTGACCCCGTACAAAGATGGGAGGCAGTTCCTAAAGCCCCAGCTGGGAACAGTCAAACTCAAGAAATAAATCCCCTTCCTTACAACCCCAATGACATAAGATTTGTTTATTTCCTCTTACTTGTGCAACTCTGGGCACCTTCCATTTTAAACAAAGTGAATATATGCCATCAGACTCAGCCCTTTAGCCTCATGCTGCAAAAGCATAGTAAGAGAATAATCACATGACTTATTTCTCCCTCTATGTTTTCTCTATCATATTTTTTCACATTTAGTTACGGAATATAAATCACTACCAACCAGCACTTATCTTAGGAGAGGCCAAGGCTTAAATATTTTAAGCCACACATCCTTCCTAAGTAATTAGAGATTCCATCTTGAGTTATCTGAATTTCAATGAAACTTTGTTGGTATGTCCTATGGTTTCTATGGTCAGTCAGCACAGGTTTTGAAAGAAGCCATAGCAAGACCTTCCTTCTTAGAAGGATGGACTAATTTTTTCATACCTCTAATATAGTCCCACATATTATTTCAGGGACAGAAAAAGCTAATTAGTTTAAACCAAATGATAGAGATGAGTTAAAATTATTATGATTCAAAGAAGTTTGTTGAATAAAACAATGGGAAAAATGAAATTTTACTATATATTGAATGAAGCCAGGTGTTAGAATTATGATCACCTATTTTATCTATAATTACCTAAAGTATAAAACATGGACCTGTTGTTTATTTAAATGTCATCAAATGGTAAGAATATTAAATATTTATATTTTACTTATGATTTAGACCATTTTAGTTTCACAGAAACAGAAATGTCTATAGCTTAATGTTTAATAATGGCTTATCTTTTTATTTATTAATTTTAATTAATAAATTAAAACTTTAATTTTATGCTATTAATATAATTTCTTAAAACACATCAGTTTTAAAATGTTTTAGAGTAAAAGTAGTAACCAGATAATTTGTTAAAAAATCCATTTCATGTTATATTAAAGATGTTCAGCTTAATTTTGAAGTATTTCAGTAATCTCCAAAGGTAACGGTGTGATAATTGTCCTGAGAAAATAGTCCCCAAAGGAAACTGTGTGATACTTGGCTTGAGAAAATAGAGAAAATATTGCTACCTCTCTACTCTCTAATTTAAATACACTGGAATTCTGCCAATCACAGAGACCTCAGCTCTCTATTAAATTTTTTGCATCATTAGAGAGGACATAATAATTGAAGCTGTCCACGATCTACTCTGGAACAGAACAGAGTCACAGAGCAGGGAGAGACATCTTCAGAAAGAAATGAAGAAAGGACTTGTATTAAAATTAAATTTGAGGCAGATTGTCTAAAATAAATAGAACCTGGACATACAGAATTATGGTTATTATAAAGTGAGAAATGGGTAACAGACATGGCTCCTATCAAAACCTATTTCAGACAGAAAAATTCAACAAACATTCTCTCTTGTCACCTTTCCGAGTAAAATAAAACTTACATATTAAAAAGTAATAAAAACATAAAGTTTAATAATCTTTAGATTTAAAACCTGTGCAACCACCACCCATGTCAAGAAATAGAAAATTTCCAGGATCATCAAGAAGGTCTTTCCTTATTTACACTTCCAGTTACCATCCTCTTTCTCCTTCTATATATTACCACCATCTTTACCTCTCACATATCTTGAAGTCTAATGTAAACTACAGTTTAGTTTCCTGGTTTTGAAATTTACACAAGAGCAATGTAATACAAACTCTTTTGTGTCTAGCTTGTCATCTTCAAGTTCTTTTAAGAGTCATCCAAGGCCCGGCCTTCATCTTACTGATGACAACTAGGCTAGATGTAAATTACTGTGGCTGGTGATTAAGAGACACTGATTAATGTAAATTGTTTGGGGCCCAATTTGTATATTGGAGTGGGGTCAACTTTATTGAAAACAGAATGAAAAGTAATGATTATATAAAGGAATTTTGAGGCACAGAACTCCTAGGATAATGAATTTTGGTAACTGTTGATTTCTTTTCAATAATTTTGATTTTGTTTTGTTTCTTTTTTTTCTTAAGATAGGTTTTTATGAGTCTACTACTATATCCAACAAACAGCAGCTTAAACGAATAAACACTCATTGTATCGTACAGTTTCTGAGGATTAAGAATCCTTGAACAACTTAGCAGGATGGATGTGACTCAAGTTCTTTCATGAGGTTGCTGTCAAAATGTCAACTGGGGCTCTGATATCTGAAGGCTTGAATAGAGTTGGAAAGTTGGCTTCCAAAAGAAGTTCATTACACAGCTGCTAGAATAAACTTTATTTCCTTGCCACTTCTT